CACAGTTCATGATATTCTTCTCCTTACAGACCCTCATCTCCTCCTGGTAGTACTCAAGGGTGTCCTTGAGGATGTGCTATATCCAATTGTGGTGCTTGTTATTATTCATATAATGATCTACCATTCCCTCCATTACCTGGTTCTTGTCCTAGTGTGTGTCCATTGGTTAATGGTGAAGTGGATGAGTCCTGCATGGCAAGATGGGGACAGTGTGTCCAGAGATCATATTATACCATTTATAAAACTGTGAGTTGTATACTAATCAATAATATTGTTTTAAAGTTATTTTCTTTTCAAAGGTTTCTGAGCGTGAGAGGTTTAAAGATAATTTCCGCTGCTGGTCTCTTCAATGCATTAACTAGACATTAAATAGTAAAAGACTGTAGATCTAGATCCATAGTTATGATTTCCTTTTGTTCGTAGTTTTTGTTAGTAATAATAGATTCTTATTGATGTATAAAATTAAAGGGGTGAACATTGTAATTTTCACCTTGAAAAGTGTTTTGCTTTCATTGCAATCTAGCAAAGAAAGTTTTTTAGCAAAGCAGTAGTCTAGATTCTAGATAATAGACTAGATACCGGAAGACACCGCCCAATCTGAGCAGACTAAGAACTGAGTCATGAAGAAAGTCCTCACACTAGCGGTTGCTGCTTTTTTATTTCTATTTGTTAGTTCTCAGCCGCTTACCTCTTCATCTGTATCTGGTACAGTGACTCATATTGCTGTTAGTGCTAATGGAGTCTTTGTAAGCACTGCTACTCAAGTGTACCAGTTCTCTTCTACTCTACAACAATTAGGAGACCCTCTTGGGTCCCCGGCTCTCGTTGGTACTGTTAATGGAATAGCTAGTACACCTGATGGTGAATGGTGTATAGTGTGTACTGATGCTGGTGATATAACATGTTCTGTTCTTAATGGATCTAATCTTAAAGCTCCTGCTAATAGAACGGTGACTAACGGTGGGACTGCTACTAGTCTGGTAGTGTTTAATGGAGGAGATGGTAACAGCTTTTATACTGGGAGCTATGTTAATCAACATATTCTATATCGTCAGTATGGGTTTGCTGGTATCACATTGTCAAGATCTACTAATGCTGGAGATCAACAGGCTTCACAATTTTTTTATCGTATATTTGTGAGTGGTTTCTTTGCATCAGGATATGCTTATTACATTGTTAATGATCCTCCAACAAGTGGTAATAACAGATGGCTCCGTATAATAAGAGTATGTAATGACAGTGCAGCTAATGGTTTCAACAATCAATATGAGCTGACTTTAGGTTGTGATGGTAATGATGCTTTCTTTAATCCTACTCTGATTGATGCATCTGTTATCAATGAAGAGACATTGTTAATAGCAATACGTGCTGATTCAGTGGATGATATTTGTTCATACAGTCTGTCTG